CTTAATATTAAGAAATTAAGTGTTAAGTGAAAACTTAATTTCTTAATATTAAGCGTTAAGTGAAATCACTTAATAAGTTAACTTAATTAAGTCGAATTAAAAACAAAGGTCCACCCCTAGTACGGACTGGTTTCGACAGGAGAACACCGAAAATTGATGGAACATGGAAGCAGTATTCCAGACCGGAAAGTCTCCGAATTTTTTCCAGTAACGTTCGGCTGACTTCTCGTTGTTTCCGACAGGAAATGACCGTAAATCATTGTGGAAAATCTGGAGACTTTCCGATTCGAAATACTGCTTTCATGTTCCATCGATTTTAAGTGTTTTCCTGCAGAAAACAATGATTTTTCCAGTATGTTACTGGCTGGTTCCAGTGAAATTCAACTGTTTCCCGAGCCCGGAATCATCAAACTGGGATGGACACAAATATCCATATCATTAAATAATCAACAGATCATATTTTTAAAGTTATTTAGGTCCCAAATCCGCGTCGCACGTACTCAAAGGATTAAATAAAAACTGAGCAGTGCATCATTTTTTCCAACCAAAAAAAAAATGTATTTTAAACACATTCTATTAGAAATAAAAGAAAGTCATCACCTCAATATAATGCACTGTGGTTGAGAAACTTAAACGATTCTTCACTTTTTCTTTTTGTCAAATTTTGATGTTTATCACAGAAAATTGTTTTCATCTTTTATAATTCCAACGCGTATATATAGTGCAGAAAAAAAAAACTCAAAATAAAAAATCGTTTCTTTTTACTATTTTAGTCATGAGACTTGATAAAGCATTTCGTGTAATTCTTAATTCTCCAATATTTCCACATATGACTGTTCAACGAGCAACCGATCGATCAGTACGATTCGGTGCTCAAGATGAATCCCATTTACGTATATTTATTATTAAAGTAAGTATTCTTTTTTATTTATTCTCATTAACAAAAAAAAAAACTTACATCTATATATTTTTTTTAATTTTATTCTAGGCTTCAGCAAATGATTGTGGTAATTTATGTAAAGAATTAGAATCACGTATACAAATAATTGAACGACAACAATCATCATCAAATGTTAATTCGGCTGTATGTTTTTTCCTTAATAATAATAATAACATTACGTTCTTCTTTTATTTTCTAGGCTAAAAATGATACCAATATATTAGATTCTTCTTCTACGGAAAATTCAGCAAATCGTATTCGTAAACGATCACATTCAAAAAGTGATTCGGATACAGACGATAATACAAATGATTTATCAAAAAAATCGAAGTATGAATTAAAGTAAAATATTTTTTGTTATTATTATTATTTTCTTTCTAGATTAATTGAAACATATCGAGATGGAAATAATGATACAAGTGATGAAGATTCTGTAGAAAGTACTAAAACAGGCGAACAAGAAACTACTACATAAAAAACAATTATATATACATATATAATATATATATATCAATGTTCTCTTATTTCGTTTCTTTTTAAATAAAGAACTTATAAAGTAATGCATCTATACATAGAGAAAAAGAAAAACCTCCTTTTGTGTTTTACATTGAAAGTCAATAGAATTAAAAAAGAATATTGTTAATGATGAATTAAAATATGATTGTCATTGTGTTGTGTTTTTTTTTTTATGAATAATTTTCATTACAATTGAAATAAATTTAGATTGACTAGGAAATCAAATCTCATTGGATACTTACAAATTCAAGTTGAACTCGATCTATATAGATAAAGTTGTATAAAAAAAAGTTTACCAAAAACAACGAATTTTTCTATTATGTTAAAGTGCCTATCTCAAATTCAGATAGTGATTATCATAGTAGGGTTTTTAAAAAATTAGATAAAGTAGTTCTCAAGTACTCGAACATCTTAAGGAAAGAAAAATGAGGCGTTGCCACAATTCCATTAAAAAGTTAAAGGTACGACAAAAACAAAATGCTTTTTTTTTCAGTTTTTATGTATTTTTCACGAAACGTTGTAATTAATGCGGTGACCCCTTATTTTATTCTCCTTATAATAGGATTATTAAAAAATAAAATACCAGGGCTGTTCGATTTTTTTTTAGATATTTATTTATAATTTTTTTTTGTGATTTAACTATAGTAGTAGTTAAAAATATAAGACTAAGGAATTTTTGATCTTTTTCTATAATACTAAAAATAAAACTCAAATGAAAATAGTAATTTGAATAGCTAACGGGAATTATTTATTAAATACATTCCATTGATGAATTATGAGAGGAAGATTTCTGACAAATCAAAAACGATAGTTTTTAAGTTCTAGAAGAGTGTGTATGAAAAATATCATCTTAAAGAGCACAAAATTCTGAATAAAATAATGATTTGCCACTTTTCCTATGACCTATCCATTAAATAATTGTAAACATTACGAAAAAATGTAATTTTTAGCAAAACTATGATAAATTTTACATTTTCATGCTAATAACATTTTAAACGAAGAACATAGAAAATGCGACAACTCTTCATTTTATGTTATTCAGAAACTTTTCTCTCATAGTACATTTTTCGAATGCATTTTAATAGACAACTTCATTGACTATTCCAATCTGAATTAAATGCTTAATATAATAGAATAAAAAATACTTTAGTCTTATATGTTTGACTATAGTACTATTAAAACAATCTGGGACAAGTGTAAAAACAAGTAAATATCTATCTATCACACATGTTGTATAAAAAAAAAAAACCCTAAGAATACAATAGATAAAACCCCATGGTTCGTTTTTATTTCATAGCTATTAATGAAAATGGTGCTGTAGAAAAGCATAAGACAAAGTTTTCTTTGGCAGTAATACCCATTATTATTGATATAATGAATCACTGTCACAATGATTTTTGTTTTTCTTTTTCGTTCTGTCGATCGACAGTTGGAGGCACGTGTGCGCAGGCGTTTTCGCAATGTCTTGTCAATATCGCCCTGCTACCATATTGGTATTTATGCAATGAGTAGCAATGTGTATATATACACCGGAGAATTCGTTATTGTGTATGCATTGACAGCTGTTCTTCGTATAGAAGAAATACTAGCGTGTGCCATTACGTCGATTTACAAGAGCATGTCTCTCTCGTCTTTCTTTTTTTATGGAGTAGTAATTAGAAAGCATAGAGAAGAGAAAACGAAGAATACAATCGGCCGGAAGAGATGACGATTCTTAGTTTTTTTTTTTTTCTTCTCTTATTTTTCTTGCTTCGTCCACATCTATTGTTCTGTTTTTCTCTTCTCTCTATCCTTTTCGTTAGGTGAGTTTCGTTAGTTTGTTTAATAAAAGGACATAGGGAGAGAGAGAGAGAGGAAGAGAAAGAGATGTGTTAGTCGCCCGTTTTTTTCTTTCGTTTCTTTTCATTCTTTATATGATTCGAACATACGAACAGTAAATTTTACTTTCGAGAGAGCAACATGTTGGTCACCTCATCTCAATCGTCTACACAGCGACCATTGGGTTTATCTGTTGAAGAATTATTTGCATTAGATCGTCAATATCGTCGAATCGAACAACAACAACATATAGCACAATTACAAGCACAAACACGTCTTCAATCATCAAATCTTAATCGTATAGCTAGTCGATCACTTGATCTTGTTTCATCACATCCACTTGCAAATCTACCTTCACTTGAAATACATGGTCATGGATATATAAATCGACCACAACCATCACCACCATCTATTCCGAATTATTCACGATCACATTCAATAGATCATATGAGATATGTACCTCCACCTCCACCACCTCCTATTATAAAACATACATATCCACAACGATCTACAATAAATGATATCAGACATCAATATTATCAACCAAAATTTAGAACTTATCTACCAGTAAGTAATTAATATCTATATGTAAAAGAAAATAAAAACAACAATCAAATATTGATGTTTTTATTTTAGCAGCCTATTATATCTGCTGGTAATATATCATCATCATCAGGAAATAGTTTTGTATATGATCCTCCTCCACCATCAATTAATTATACTGATAATCGAGGTTCTTCTAAACTTCGTCGACAACAACCTATTAAACGTGAATCATCACGTCGAATTGTTGTTCGACCTGTTGTACAACGACGACGTGAACCATCATTAAGTTCATCATGTGAATCATTAGATGAACGACGTTCATATAATCATTATCTTCCAATTCAATCAAATATTTCTAATCAATCTGTACCATTTACACCATCAGCTTCATTAATAGAAGATGTGATTAATGATTTAAGTGAAGAAACAAATAGTTTAGCACGTAATTTATCTTATAATGACTCATTATCTGATGATGGTGATGAAGTAAATTTATATGAAATGCGTGTACCAATTGGTAAAACTTATGATACATCAGATATAAGTGTACAATTAGAAGGACTAAAAATTTTAATTCATTGTCATACAATTGAACCAACAGATAAACGTGGAAATTATCGTAAACATCAATTTAAAACTGAATTATTTGTACCTGATGTTGTTGATGATGAAACTATAGCTGCTTATTTAACTGAAGATGGACAATTAATTGTTGAAGGAAAATATCATTTATGGGCATGGAAAGAAATTAAAAAAAAGAGACGTATTGAACAAGAAGAATTAAAAACTACATTATCATCAACAAATTCAAAGTTAACATCGACAAAAGATAATGGAGGAGGTAGGCTGATGCATGAACTAAAGTTTTAAAAATAAAACAAATTATATAATAATTTGAAATAAAAATCAATCAGTTTTTCAATGAATTCATGTTAATAGAAAAAATAAAAAAATAAAAAACAACGCAAAATAACAATTAAGTTTTTGTCATAAAGAAAGCATGCTGAATAAGATTCATAATAAATCGTTTATTTATATATATATATATATATCATCTCATTTATTTTGTTGTTTGTCTAGAAAATTGCATGATTAGAATTTGTTTGGATTCAGACCTGAGTACTTTGATAATCTCTATGAAGTTTTCTAATTGGAATTAGATAGTCGTTAAGAAGATACGAAAAAAAAAAAAATTTTTTTTTTGCAGATTATTTTTGTATTCAGCGACTAGCATATTCTATATATTCCGCAGATGATTAGAGTCTGTAGGACCCAAAATTTTCAGACTACGACCGAATGGGCTCTATTTATGAAAGAAATATCCTATTGATATTTTAATGGAAATCCATACACCAAAAATCTATTTAGAAGAAAAAAAAACGATTTTCATGATTAATTATTCCTATTGAATGTATTTATGAAATACATAATTTAACTTAAAGAAGCTCATGGTTAGTGTGACATTCTGATGAAATCTTTAAAAAATTTGAGCGCCTATTCAAGACTTCATGAAATTAATGGCTATTTGTCATACATCCCTATAGAACTCGACATTCTCGAAAATATGATTTTTTCCAAAAAATCTGAAACCCTGCAGGGATCTCTGGCAAAAAGATGTAATAAAATTTTAATTATGCAGCATCTATAGACAGAAATCCATTGAAATTCGAATGGTACATTTCCTTGTTAATGTGAAATATCTAAGCAAAAAATCTAATTTCTCTATTAAAATAATATTCTATGATAGATTATCAACAAAACAATCAAATATTATTTGAACTTTTCATTGGATCCAAGATTAGACAGAATCCAACAATTAATATGAAATATATATAAATCGAAATGATAAATACAATATGATTATCATTTGTTTTTCTTACACAACTGATTCTTGTTTGATAGTTTATTCGAACTTCATATAAATCTACTATTTATCGAGATTCAATTTGTTCTGAATTTCTAAAAGATCTGCAATAAAAAATAAAGAATCTTTGATTATGTCATTATATTATGTTTCTTTTGAGAATTCTATTGAAATTTGTAATAAATTCGATATTGACCTTATTGATATGTTAAATAAACAAGCAAGTAGTTTTTGTTTTTAAACTAACTCTTTCTAAATTTGTTTTAATCTTTTTTTTTGTGTGTATATTCACTTTAAAGTGTTCTTTCAGCACTACTAAGTTACTTCAAATCAATTGTTGATTGGGTCAGTATGACTTTTCTTACCCTGAAATATTTTTTTTTTTGTGCTTTTACCAGTACGGTGTATTTGTGTGTTTATTTATTTTCAGTATTGTTTAAGCTTCATACTGTTATTTTTTGTTTTCAGTTCAATTTTAATTATTCGATTTTTAAAATAGGTTTGGAACAAGACAACATATCATCATCATCATCATCATCATCATCATCATCATCATCTACATTCAACAACAACAGAATAATAAATAATAAAATTGAAAAATTAGATAATAATCGAACTGTGATTCATGTTGGTGAATCATTATCAACACAAAAATGTAATAATTCAAAAAATGTAAACGATATTATTAATCGTTTTAATTCATTGAAAAATAATGATTTATCAAATATATGGGATGGACAATATTCATTTAGTAATGATTCTCCATCAATACTTATTTATCATCTTCGTTTACCATTTGAAACATTAACGGATTCTATACGTATTCAATCGGATTCACAATTAAATATATTAAAAATTTTTATTGAACAACAAGACAAAAATGTATTAGAAGGAGGAGGAGGACAACAACAACAAAATAAAATAATTGTACGTTCAACATCACGTCTATGTCGTTTACCACGAGATCATACATATGATTATAATCGTTTACGTGTTAATTTTCTTAATGATAATTTTATTCGCATTGAAATACCTACATTAAATTGAAATTATCAACTATTATTTCAAATAATACCGGTGATAGTTTATTTATCGTCGTTCGTTTTTTTTTTTTTCTTAAATTTTGAGTATACTCATATTTATGTTTGTTGTCTGTTTGTGTTTTTGTTTTTTTTTATATTTATAGTAATCATGTTAGGTAAAGTGTGATAAGTTATTATTAGTATTCGATTTAAAATTATGATTCAAATAAGAAAAAGCTAGAATATATGAACAAGAAGGATGTTTTTTTTTTAACAATATCTTAAACGATTATTACTTCATCATTAACGAATACATAAATCTGAATCAAGCTTTTTTTTTTGGGATGTGATGTGTGAGTGTAGGTTTAATATACACGTGTAAGGTGTGAGCTTGTGTGATGACAAGATCATCGTCCTGCAGATACATTCAAATATCTACAACCATCTTCATCTGTATTTGTTTTACTATTATTATCTGATTGGAAATATGAAATAGAGAAGGTTTTAATTATTGTTAACTGTAATTCTGGCAGGTCTACGAAAAGTTTATTGTTGACAAATCATATCTGTTTGTGTGGCACCATGTTCTGTCAATCAATGAGATATTTTGTCTTTGTGTTGAGTATGAAGTATAGACATGAGGATGTCAGTGTGTAGCTGTATTCGTCTCAGTACATACTCATATAAAAAATTTCATGATAAATTCAAATGCAGCATATGAGAAAATCATGATGCATCCTAGTCAAATCATTGGATAGATGTAATTCGATAGCAATGCTTTATTTATTTCATATTATCTTAATTATAATCAAATTTCCATTTGTTATATATTCGTGCTAGTTTTGACTGTTGTCGAAATAGTTCTATAAAGAATTCTCTTGTACCGTCCAATGATTGGATTTGCATGTGACGTATTATGAGCATGACACTAAAACATAACTAACGCGTATGCTTGCAAAAGTGTTCATCATATTTGTATTTTAGATGATGGTAAAATATGTATGCCTATGTACAAGATATTTGACTATTTTAATAGTATATTTTCCATGTATATTGTATTTTAAATCGTTTATAACAATGACACGAAAGGCTAAATTATGGAGTTCAATTAGTATATTTTATTGTGACTTTTTTTCGAGAAAACTTATACAAAAATGTAGTAAACATCGATGTGTTGAATCAAAAGTTTTTTTCATGGCTATTTTAATTTCATTCCTAATCATTCACACACAAAAGTTGAAGTGACATTACTAAGAGAGAAAAAAAACTATTGAATAACTTGCACTTGTTTGTGCATCGCCCATGGCATGCACTGCCAATGCAACATCATATGTTGACATTAAATTATATGTTGTATTTCTTGCGCTAATTTTCATAGGAATTAGCCTGTTAATTGTAGCTCCTTGTGGTACCTTTCATTCAAATCGACTGGTCTCTTCATCCAACGTTGATCAAGTCGAACTGTGGAGAAGTTTGTAGACAATAATCGAGCTACATCCGCTAGTTGCTAGGAAGGTTAGATTCATTTACTGACCGATTTGTACTGAATGTGTAAGAAATAGACCGATATTGAACTTGACAACTTGTCCACCTAATAGCGGCCTAGCGTGGCCAAATTTGAACTTCATATTTGTCGAAATTTAAACATGAACAGTTTGTAGAGCATATTTAATTGTATAAGGATATGAACCTTGTTTTTTCCATTCACTCTATCTGGAAAAAGAATGAGGAACCGAAGCATAAGGTACGAATTAATTTTATTATTATATATTTTAATAGTGCAAAGAAAAAGGTTCTCTGCAGATGATGTGAAACGTTTTATGAGATAGCTATGATATAGAAAGAATAATTAATAGATTGAGTTTATTTTAGGATGTCTAATAAAATGCCACCTTCTTTCTTAAATTAACAAGGTCGAGTGGCAGAACCTGACCAAAAGAGAGGTGAGTGCGTTACCATTTAGAAGGTTTTTTTGACATTTATTCTTCTACTACGTGTGACATTTTTAATGGGAGCTATTTATTTTTAGGTGACTTTTGACGCGGGTCGCAATCACTTTACCGAAAATAGCTTTGCCGCCATGTACAGTTTGTCGACAATTTATTTCGCCGACAAAAAATTGAAGTCAAAAATAAATTTAAACTTATTATAGATACAGTGATATATATGTCAGCGTTCATACTTGAATGCGTCCAATCTCGGATTGGTCTAGGTCAATGTCACATTGGACGTACTATTTTCAGGCGAATCTTAGATTGCCTAGGCTAGTCCGAGATTGGACGTATATGCGGGCATGAACGTGATATATATACATAAAGAGATAAG